CCAGTGTGTACATTCTCTCCAGTGTGTACCTTGTGTCCATTGTGTGTACAGACTGTCCCTGTGTATATTCTGTCCAGTGTGTACAGATTGTCCAGTGTGTACATTCTGTCCAGTGTGTACAGACTGTCCAATGTGTACATTCTGTGCAGTTTGAAAATTGTGTCCAGTATGTACAATGTGTACACTGTGTGTACATACTGTCCAGTGTGTATATTCTTTCCACTGTGAACATTCTGTCATGTGTGTATAGAAAGTCCAGTGAGTAAATTCTGTCCAGTGTGTACAGATTTTCCACAGTGTACAGACAGTCCAGTGTGTACATTCTATCCAGTGTGTACATTCTTTCCACTTTGTACAGAGTGTCCAGTGTGTACATACTCTCCAGTGTGTACAATGAGTACATTGTGTGTACAGACTGTCCAGTGTGTACATTCTGTCCATTGTGTACAGACTGTTCAGTGTGTACATACTGTCCAATGTGTACAGAGACTCCAGAGTGTACAGACAGTCGAGAATGTACATTCTGTCCAGTGTGTGCAGAATTTTCAGTGTGTACACAGTGTCCAGTGTTTACATTCTGTGCAGAGTGTAGAGACTGTCCAGTGTGTGTACAGACTTTCCAATGTGTACAGATGGTTCAGTGTGTACATTCTGTCCAGTGTGGATATTGTGTCCAGTGTGTACAATCTCTCCAGTATGTACATTCTGTACAGTGTGTGTACCAACTGTTCAGTGATTACATTCTGTCCTTTTTCACAGACTGTACAGTTTGTCCAGAATGTCCAATGTGTACAGAATGTCCAATGTGTACAGACTCACCAGTTTGTACATTCTTTCCAGTGTACATTGTGACCAGTGTGTACATTCTGTCCAGTGTGTTCATGGACTGTCCAGTGTGTACACTCTGTCTCGTGTGTAAAGACTGTCCAGTGTGTCCATTCTGTCCAGTGTATACAGACTTTCCAGTGTGCACATATGCCCAGTTTGTATATTGTGTTCAGTGTGTACAATGTGTACAATGTGTGTACAGACTGTCCAGTGTTTACATTCTGTCCAGTGTGTATATTCTGTCCAGTGTGTACAGACTGTCTAGTGTGTACAGACTGTACAGTTTGTTCAGAATGTCCAGTGTGTACAGACTGTCCAGTGTATACTTTCTGTCCTGTGTATGTACAGATTGTCCAGTGTGTACATTTTGTCCAGTGTGTACATTCTGTCCAGTGTGTACAGACTGATCATTGTGTACATTTTGTCCAGTGTTTACAGACTGTCCAGTGTGTATAGAGTGTCCAGTGTGTACATTCTCTCTTGTGTTTACAGACTGTCCAGTTTTTACATTTTGTCCAGTGTGTGTACATTCTGTTGAGTGTGTACATTCTGTCCAGTGAGTTCACAGGCTGTCCAGTTTGTTTATTCTGTCCAGTGTATACATTCTTTCCAGTGTGTACACTGTGTCCAGTGTGTACAGAGTATCCAGTGTGTACAGATTGTCGAGTGTATACATTCTGTCCAGTGTGTGCAGATTGTCCAGTGTGTATATTCTGTCCAGTGTCTATATTATGCCCAGTGGGTTCATTCTGTCCAGTGTGTACATTGTGCCCAGTGTGTACATTTTTCCAGTGTGTACATAGTGTCCAATGTGTACAGAGTATCCAGTTTGTACAGACTGACCAGTGTGTGCATTCTGTCCAGTGTATACATTCTCTCCAGTGGGTATAATCTGTCCATAATGTACATTTTGTCCAGTGTGTACATTCTGTCCAGTGTGTGTGCAGACTGTCCAGAATGTACATTCTGTCCAGTGTGTACAGAATTTCCAGTGAGTACAGCCTGTCCAATGTGTACATTCTCTCCTGTGTGTATATTGTGTCCAGTGTGTACATTCTGTCCATTGTGTACATTCTGTCCAGTGTGTACATTCTGTACAGTGTGTACAGACTGTCCAATGTGTACAGAGTGTCCAATGTGTACAGAGTAATCAGTGTGTACATTCTCTCCAGTGTGTACATTGTGTCCAGTGTGTACAGACTGACCAGTGTGTACATTCTGTCCATTGTTGACATTGTACCCATTGTGTGTACAGACTGTCCAGTTTGTATATTCTGTCCAGTGTTTACACACTGTCCTGTGTGTACATTCTGTCCAGTGTGTTCATTCTGTCCAGTGTGTACAGACTGTGCAGTGTGTACAGAGTGTCCAGTGTGTACAGACTGTCCAGTGTGTACATTCTGTACAGTGTGTACAGACTCTCCCGTGTGTATATTCTGTTCAGTGTGTAAATTGTGTCCAGTGTGTTCATTGTGTACACTGTTTTACAGACTGTCCAGTGTGTATATTCTTTCCACTGTGAACATTCTGTCCAGTGTGTACAGATTTTACACTTGTACAGACTGTCCAGTGCGTACATTCTTTCCACTGTGTACAGAGTGTCCAGTGTTTACATACTGTCCAGTGTGTACAATGTGTACATTGTGTATACATACTGTCCAGTGTGTTCATTCTGTCCATTGTGTACAGACTGTTCAGTGTGTACATACTGTCCAATGTGTACAGAGTGTCCAGTGTGTACATTATGTCCAGAGTGTAGAGACTGTCCAGTGTTTGTACATTCTGTCCAGTGAGTACAGACGGTCCAGTGTGTACTTTCTGTCCAGTGTGTACAGTCTGTCCAGTGTGTACATTCTGTATAGTGTTTTTATAGACTGTCCAGTGAGTACATTTTGTCCTTGTTTACAGACTGTACACATAGAATCCTTATACTGTGTGCTATTATGCTGTCTTTAAATTGTTTGAATGTTGAAGAAGGAGCAACAGCTGCTAAAAGATATTTGTCTATAAATGTAACTGAATTAATCCAAGATAGATATTTTGAAAATACCTTGACTTCAAAATTGCAGTCAAAATGTATGTTACTTTGGAGAAAAGGACTTGCTTTTTTTTCCACAGGAAATGAGAAGCTGTGGATTCACTCTGAGTTAAAAAAAAATTAGGTTTGATCAAAGAAGACCACCTGAAAAATCTCCGGAAGTAACAGATGTCCCCGATGTCTAAGATCTACAACCAGAAAAGATTCAAAACTGCTGCCTGAAATGATCAAGACTCACAGGATACTCCAGTCAGGACCTTATGATAATTCTATATTTTCTTTAGTTCCCCATAAGATTATCAGCATCCCTAACCAGCCAGAAGTTGCCTGGAAAACTATGCCCACATTCCCAACAAATGGACTATGGATATTTTCCTTTGTTTAAAAAAAAGAGGGGGAAGTGGTGTGGAAGAATTGTCTATATTCTGTCAATCATATTTTAAATAAATGCTGATTGGCTAGGCATTAAGTATAGATGGGTCAACCAGACACGAAGAAGAGGCATGGTGATGAAAACATGAGTATTCTAGGAAGCAGGAGAATCCCTTCACAGTTCTGCCTAGATCACCAAAAAAGCAAGATGTGACCAGCCCAGATGAGAAAGGTACCGAGCCATGTGGCTAACATAAGTAACAATAATGGGTTAATATAAACTTCAAGAGCTAATAAAAAGCTTGAGCTAATGGACCAGTTTTATAACTTACAGAGATCTCTGTGTGATTTTCTATGGGACCTAATGACTGTGGGGTACCAGGTGGGACAGAAACTCCAACAAGCAGCAGGCCCTTCATGTTACAGTCAGGCACATAACTTTGAGGGAAAATTAAGGTCCCCTGGCTTCACTAGTTCTGATTATCACAACCTATGGATGTGATTGATTCATATAAATTTTTTATTGCCTGTGAAACAACCTAAAGAAGGACAGGAAGACATTCAAAACATAAACCTTAATACTTTAGAATATTGAGTGTGTATCTTAACCCAGTCAGTTCTGCATTTGTGGACACCATTAAAATTGGTGCCATCAAATCATTTTCAAGGGTTTGCTACCTGGTTTTAAACTAGGAAATATTACCACAGCTAGAAAAACATAAATACTAGTTAAGAGACTCTTTCGTTATTAGAATAATTGGTTTATTTTTATGTCATTTAGAGCACATCAAATGGAGAATAATTGACTTGAAATATATAGAAATATGTTTGAAATGGGTCATTGCCACTGCTAACACTGATGACAACTGATTTGAGAAATTTAAGTAGGACATCAGAATTCTCTTAAATATCAATTAATTTGTGACATATATTATCTCATCTTGTCAACATTTCTTTATGCCCCTGTTGGTTTATACTTTATTTTCTCCTGAATCTTAGGGATATTACTTTATTATAATCATTTTCTTCTTTTTATATCTTGACTCTATTCAACCTGTGTGCATTAGGACATTTTCTCATCTTTTCTATGTCAAATAACCACCTTCTTGAATTCTATTCTTTATTCTCTGACCCCCTTCTTCTTTATTCTCAGGAGTCTGTCTCTCCACCAGTGTCAGAATAGTAGTTTTTATACAAATTTATTGAAATAGACCATTTTGTACTATAAAAATACAAGGCTCATAGGCTCTGTTGTTTCAAAGCATATAGCTTTATTATATAAACATTGAAAGTTATCATACAACATTCCATTTCAAAACAGTTGAGTGTATATCGTGCACATATAAACATATGAATATTTTTTAATTTTCAATAAATGACAACTTTTTCTGTTTGTATGTAAAGCATACCAAATTGCATATCAAACTGATTTGATACCCCAAATCAGTTTCGTGTATATTTTCTAATTTAGTATAACATCATGTTTCCTCGAGGGTAAGTATGTACTAAAACTATTATGTAGGCATCAATGTTTTTGATTCCTTGTTAGTTTTTGGTCAAAATTAAACTTTAATTACTTACATAATGTCTTAATGCCCTGTACTTATCAAGAATCACTTCATATCCCAAGTAAATAATTCCAACGGGACTCAAGAAAACACTGATTTGAAATAATTACAATTTAGAATTGATTGCCAACACACACACTAAATTATTTAGATAACTGAAGTGTTTGTATTTCTTTTTAACTGTGTTTCAGAGCAGTGATATAATACTTTTTCTTTTAGTAAGTGCTTTAAAAAATAAATTCAATTGGCATTAAATGTGTTGATGTATTTTGATTTTGTATTTTTTAAAATGTCTACAGAGAAATGATACCAAAATTAGAGCCAGTGGTTTCTCATTTAAAGATGAAGCTATCTCCTGCCTCAATTTGTTAAAATACATGAGATTTCTACATTTTAAAGTTTATATAGTCAGTGAGAAATAGGCCTATATGTGACATGAAATGAACAGTTTATAATTCTTATTCACTATTTGAGATTGAATCTCTGGACACAATCTGTAATATACCAGAAGATAAAGTATCCAAACAATTGTGGGAAGAGCCAAAACTATACCAAAACACAAGTAGAGGACAGCTATTTCTGTTCAGTCATAATTTTCTGAGGAGTAAATTTCAGCAGCCTTGTCAAAGTCTCATAGACCAAATTATTGCTGTTTTGTTAACAAAATAAAAAAAACTCCTGTCTTCTTTGTGATTATAATCTTTTCTTATACTGAGCAATAAAGGTATGCATTTTCCTGTAATTGAATAACTCATAAAAATGAGTTGAAATTTGTTTAGTTTTGGCAAGTAATAAAAATATATAGTGAAGTGTTACTTATTTAAAACTATTACTTTGTAGGTTGTCAGAAATTAGTTTTCAAAAACATTTCAAAGTCCATGCTATTTACTCATTTATATATATTGTTAGTTGTTATTTTATTTTTCCACTGTGGAAGAGATGAATTGAATCTAGCTATATGAATGTCAGTTTATCTTTCAATTTTCTTATACTGAGAATACCATCAGATGCTTTCAATATACACTTGCTCAAATATGACCAGTCTGTATAAGTTTATATTAATCATCAAAGGACACAAGACACTTAAATAAAATACAAAAAATCTAGTAGTAACTTTATGTAGGGTAGTAAATTATCTTTCCTTCTGTATAATTAAATTTAGATGAATATTATTTGAAATTAACATATCAAGAATAATCCTAAATAAAAACTTTTGTTTATAAATATAAACATATAATATTAAAGTTATATTTATAAATAAATATTAAAAATTACTTTTACATAAACACCATGATCACAGTAATATGCCCAATAACTATGTAATTTATGATTTGATATTCAATTCACTCAGCTCTATAAATGTAAGCCACAATTCTATCTACATACAATATATTTAACAAAAAGAAGAAAATGGACAGAAAGAGGAGAAACTAAGTCTGTGACCTTATAGTCTTGTAAATCTTTGATCAATGTTCTTCCTATAACTCGTAGAATATACTCATGCCCACACAATTTATTTACTATTTCCTATTTTTATTTATGTAGCTATAAATATATGCTGTATGTATTTTCTCTATTTACAGTATACTTATATCTATGTTTAACACATACTTTGTTTTTAAATTTTATCATGAACATGCAGATTAATATGCACAATATGGTGAAAAGATACTTATCTTACACAACATTTTAACTTGTGCAAAAGTGAAATAATATCATACAGATTAATATTCTTTCACTAAAATTTCACCTTTTATGCTGTACTTTTTATAATTTATAAATAAACTATGAAACTTAGCTAATTCACAAACTGACATTAATTACAATGTTACAAAAAGGCATTGCTGAGGCTTTGATTTGTAATATACTTGAAGTCAGTAGTCTTTCAAAACAAAAACTTCAATATGTTATTGTTAGTTCTTGATGTGTTTACTTTTGAAGTATTCATAAAATAGGCAATTACAATACTAAAGCTCATGCTAGTCAACTGCTGTTTGTGTATTGTAGTCATCACAGCTGTTCCATTTAGTTTTCTGGAAGAGTCTTTTTCAGAACAACTCCTGAGGAGACTAAAATCTACACTGTTTCTGGAAAGTTTTTACCCTATAGAAAAGGCTGATGGTAAGTGAGGCACAATTGAGAAGGAATAATTTTAGTGGATGCTCAGGAGAAATAACTGCAAATGCAACAAATGTTTTAACTGCAGCTCCCAGGACTTCAACATCTCCTGCTTCATGAACAACCTGAAAAATGCTCAGTTCTTTAAAACATTGATTGTACTCTTCCATGAAATATTGGCTGTGGTCCTCCATTGAGCATATTCTCTGTCATTTCCTGTTTGCAAAATAATATGAATGAATTAAAATTCACTTCAGAGTAAGACATTGATAGGCTTAGTAGTAAAGCAGAGATTACAAATCATTGAAGAGTATTTTGTGGGAAAGGACAATGATTGATACTGTTATTGTGATTTAGGAAATAAAATTTCTTGGAGTCTTAAATCACACGAAAAATTTGAAGTGACAGCCAAGAATTATATACACAAGATATACATTATCTTTTCACATGCCCACATTTCCCCCTTTTACTTCAACTCACTTTTGGAATGAACTAACCTAGAAAGAAGATGCCTAATTGACCAGGTTTTGCCAAAACACGGCTCCTCTGCCAAGCACATCAACAAAATACAAAAATATTCTGTAGGTGTTTATAGAAAATTTTTAAAATGTGGAGCCTTTTGCTTATGAACTCAAAGACATTCACAGTGAGACAGATATTTCTTTTGAAAAGGGTTTAGAAATGTGGGCCAGACTGATGTAAAACTTGAATGTACCTCAGAGTTGTTTCAAACTTGCAATTTTTCTGCCTCAGTTTTCTGAATGTTGATATTCTAGGTGTAAATCATCATGCCTAGACAGGAAATTGTTTTTAATGACATTATCATTTACACACAAAAAAAGCAACTGGGGCAATGAAAACTTGGGGCATGTTTTTAATGTTGTCATTACTAAGAAATAACAGAAATGTGTTTGTGAAGATGTGAATAAACAGACATGAAAAGTAACATAAAGAGTTTCATTTGCAATTATAGAAAATGTTTAAATTTTAGGGTATTTAAATTCATATAGTTTATTGACTGTTTTTGTTTGTTTGTTAAGTTGGTTGGTTGGTTGGTTGGTTGATTTTTCAGACAAGATCTGATGTAGTAACTGCTTGGAAGAAATTACTATGTACCTGGGAATGGCCTTAAATTTATAATCCTCATGCTCAGATTTGGAGTTGGAGTAACTCAGGCCTGTCTATAAGATGCTCAAGATGCTAGAGAACCACTCCACCAACTATGCCACATTCTAAGCCCCTATTTATTAGCTATTAAGTCCTTCATTATATAAAAAGGAGTCATGAGATCAGAGGCCCATTCACATTTATAATAGTATTATAGATAATATATTAGCATATAATAAGCACACTATAGATATTATATATTAGCAAAATTGTCCTTTATTCAAGATTAGAAATTCTATACTTCATGTTGACTTTCTGAAGGACAGCAAAAACGTTTCAAGTGAAAATTCCTGGTTTCATATTCTTCTGCTTGATACCATTTTCATTTTGTTTCTGTTGGGAAAGTTTCTAAAGAAGGCACAATGAAAGCTGATCTGGAAATGTAAGGGTCATTGGGCTGGTGTTAGGCTTATAATGATAAAATACTGATTAATGGAAAAATTAACCAAACTCAATTCCCAAACATCAGGATAAAGTTTACAATTTCTTATTTATTCTGCTAGAAGAGAAAGCAAACTTCTGGGTTTTTTGTTTGTTTGTTTGCTTGCTTTTTGAGACTAGGTTTCTTTGTAGCTTTGGTGCCTGTCCTGGAGCTAGTTCTTGTAGACCAGGCAGGCCTCGAACTCAAAGAGATCTGTCTGCTCCTGCTCCTAAGTGCTAGGATTAAAGGCATGCACTACCACTGCATGGCTGAAAAAGCAAACTTCATAGTAAGTGCATAGAAATAAGAATTTCAGCTGTTTTTCCCCTTCTCTAAGAAGAGTTCAAATGAAAAACAAGAAAAAAATGCCTAAATCCCATAAAACTATAGTATCAATCTTTTAGTGTAAGATTTTTAGAAAAAATGCTTTCTATAATCTTACAAATTCAAGAGTTTTCTTAACTAAAATTACTCAGACTCAGATACAGTAAAATTATTGAGAGAAACTAATAGAGAAGTTAGTTTTAAATGGATGAGTCTCATCATTTCATTTGCAAATTGGCTTTTCCAATTTAATAAGATCATACTTCTAATTTATCCAAGAGAAGACTAGAATATTTATAAAAATATACATCATTCAAATGGACTAAAAATGTAACTTTCTGTATTTCCAGTTAGTCTCTTTGGTCAAATCAAGAGCCTTGACTGTTGTTAACAACTAGAAATGTAATATAATAGATCAGCTAATTTTAGCAATAGAAACTTTATATACAAACATTTTACTAATTAATTTTAAACTTTGATTCACGCAATATTGTTATGACAGAAATACACAGTGTAACTTTATCCAGACTCATTTATTATTTAAAGGAAAAGTTTCATATGTGAATGAGGAAACTGAGTCAGAATTGTGATGCAGCAGAGAATAAAGAGAATTATGATCCAAGCAGAGATGTGCTTCAATGCTTAGAGGCAGGGTGAATAATTGAAATTCCCTACCAACTTAGATTTTGTAAGATTCTGCCATGTAGGTTATGTCTGCTCCTCAGAATAGACCTTCTGAAAGGGATATTTTGAGGATCATACAGCATCAGTCCAGACTGATCTACTGGCATCATGGCTTTCTAATAAAGGTAGAGCTTTCTGTAGCAACATTCCAACATGGTAACTCCCTAGAAGTCAGCATACCTTGTAGGTAACTCTGGTGTCAGGGGCACCACCGGGCAGCTGGGCAAGTTGGTTATTTCAATAGCCCTCAATCTCTAATGTAAATATAACAATTATACAATAAATATTGAAAAATATATACAAAGAAGAGTTAAATAACATTAGCATAAAAATAGAAAATAAAGGAGCAGTTATACAATATGTACTAATCTTTTATTTTAATAACTTATTTGAAGACATCAGTTTTTCTAATATAATGTCAAATCTTTTATTTTAAATGTACAAATATGTCCACAATTACTTCCTTGGAACAGTAAATGAGAATTTCTTCTCCTAATGTATAGACAAGATATGAAATGAAGACAGATGAACTACAAAATAAATATTTATTAACATTAGAATAACATTATACAGAAATATGCATAACTATTGCTACTATTTCTTTTATGCTATTACTGTAGAATTTAATTTTCAAGAAATAAATCAAAATATAATTTGCCCATTAATTTAGTGAGTTGATTTTTACAGATGTTTATCTTTTCCTCAATAGATGAAGTTACAGGAACTGAATTTGGAAATGTATACCAAATGTAATTGGAATACACAGCTCTTTCTATTTTAATTGCTCTTTAATGCAACTAGTATTACTTTCTGTTTTAATTGGTTTCATAAAACAATTATGCAAACAGCATTTTTTAAAATACAGAAAAAGCTATCCAAATATGCATGAAGTTTAGATGAGAGTTCAATGAAGCTTTATAAGAATTGTAATATCTGCACTCATATACAAGGCTTTTGTTACCTTATTAAAGAACTTTTCTCTGCTTGAGGATCCAATTTACATAATCAAACACATCAAATTATAAGCACAAAGGATGTACTGGAGAAGAGAGTTCATGTGATTGCTAAAGATGGAATTATTAAGTGGAGGCTGTATTTAGTTTATGGTTTTCCTCAGTATAATACATGAAAATTTATATTTATAAGGTGCTTAATATTTTGTGAAATGCTATTTCAGGAGCTATGGTTTTGAATAAACGGATGCTACAAAATTGTGCTAAAAATGGCTGTGCTTTTAAAATTTAGAAAGAAATTAATTTTAAAACAACATTTTCTTAATCTAACAGGGTCAAACTTATAAAATGTGATTCCCAAATTTCCATCTAAGCTTGTAAATTGATTCACCTACATTACTATTTTCATTACGTGGCAGCAGTGTGAGGCAAAATAACAAAACTCACTTTCTCAGCCATTTCATGAGAATGATGCAGGGAATGTTCCCTTTCTGAGAACATTCTCCTTTGCTCATAGCTGGCTAGACGACAAGTGAGCCAGGAGGACAGAGTACATCCTCCAATGCCAATACATGCCAAAGACATGGAAGCGAGGTGCAGTGGGTACACTGATGAGGTCTTCTTTGTGACTGCCCGAAGAAATTGAAAATTCAGGATGCCACCAATGAGTCCACAGATACAACAAGCTGAAAAGAGGATCATCTGTGAAGAAGAAGAAAGAGGATGTTTAAGTTGATAAGATTGAGATGTCCAGAACATAGAGCCTTGTGATGCTGCAGGCCAAGAATTGTAAACTTACAATGAAAAGCATGTGTTCTATTTGATTATTAAGAGGTGACAGGTGACAGTCAGTGACGACTCCACTCAGTCTGATTCACTACATAGAAAGTACATCACAGAACTAAAATGAAACCAATGATATATATTTTATAAAACTCTTAAGTAAACCAAATTTAGCTTTTGTCTAGATCCAGATGAAAATAATGCCAGTCTCTAATATGCAAGCCTTTGAGAAGCAGGCATCACTTGGTGATCCCTCCCAGAGGTCTTCTGAAAGAAACACTAATATAATTTGGAAAAATGAATGGTGATCACTTCAGATTCTCTGACTTAAATTCTGTTCAATTCTGAAATCTTCTCAAGATTCCAAGTATCGGTAACTTCTACCTAATTAAATCATTTTTATGTATTTCCCCAAATGGGCATCTTTGGAACTTTCCATAGTTTGACTCAAAATCAGTGAAATCTTTTGTTGCCCTGAGACACCACAACAAATATTACACAGCTTCTGTTGCAAAAGTGTTGTTTGATTGTGTTTAAGAAACAAAGAACATGGCTTTTATTCTTGATCTTACTACTGGTTTAATATGGATCTCATATTCATAGAGTTAAAATGCTTAATCAATCTATGGAGGACCCTTGGCAGCAGTAAGTAATATGCTTTCTGTGCAAAAATATTCTGTGAATACTAATGAATTTAGTTGACTCTTTAAAGAACCTCATAATAACTGTATTTGCTTTAGGGAACTGGTCTAAATTACCCTATAGGATTTAACAGCTTTTTAGAGGATGAGACTTATTTATTATCCATTCATATTTCCATTTCTGGAGCACAGTAGCCAATTACACACTTTTCTTCCTAGTTCTTAGGACCAAACAGAACTTCTCATATGCTAGGCAAGCACTCTACAACTGTGCTACACTCCCAGCAAACCTTTCTTAAGCATTGACACACCACACACATTTCATAACATGTACATTTATAGTTTCCTGGAAATAATTTTGCTTTTTCCTTGCACAGCTAGCAGAAAAAAGTCATAACTTTTTCAGAAGACCTTCCTGGATATTATTGATCTTATTTGTTGTGTTAATTCTTTAGGACAAACAGCTTGATAGCATATTTTATGACTTATTTTTTACATTATAAGATATTGTTTGCTTTCAACAGTTAGTTGAGCTCAACAAGTAATATTTGAGCACTGGCCCTAAGTGAGGCAGCCTTTCTCATTAGAAGAAATTATGCAATTCCTTCTAATTATGTAATAATTATCCAATTTTTATGCTCTTTACTGCAATGAGGTTTAACATATTAAGTATGGTATAGTCAGTATCAGAGAGAGGGGGAGAGTACATCGATTTAGGAGTAGAGAAAGAAAAATTTATCAAAATAGTGTTGCAATCTATTTCCTTCAGTGAAGTACCAGGAGAGGGCCAGGCCATGAATGCTTGGACTGCACTAAGAAAATGCAGACAGGCAAATATTTCTACTTGTCCCATCATTTGCTTCATTTCTCCAACTTAATTCTGCATTACTTATGGTGCTTATGTCAGGTTACTTATCAGGATTGATAACCCAATGGTGAAACAATAAAATCTTTTTGAATATATTGAATAAAATCTTATTGAATATATTGTTGAAAATTGATTACTAAATTACAAAACTGTTCTATTTAGTTATAATGTGTATTTTAAAACTTAAGTAAAATTAATCATTTATATACTATTTTAAATGATACTCACTTGCCCTGCAGTTTCTTGAGTACATATTTTGATATTTACTCACACACAATATTAAATGAACGTATATTATAGACTTTGAGTAGTGAATAGTGTTTTTTAAAATAAACAAAATAACTGTTTTTACAGAAACACCTCTGTGTCTGCTAAAGCTTTTCTCATTTTCTTTAATAGTTAATGACAATGCATAGATATGTGTTGGCAGAATTTTTTCACCTATGAATTAAAGTATTAGAATTAGTGCCCAGGCTTTTAGTCATATACTATTTCAAACACCATTAGACAAGTGATTCTAGACTGAAGTTATATTAGGAAAGAAGACATGTTGTAAAACATTTACTGGAAACTGGAAATCTTTGGAGCTACCTGTCATTATGGATTTCAGAAAATAAAGGAAGATACTGCACTGTCTAATGGTAACTACATATACATGGGACTTTTCAAAAAGTTTACTTTTATAACATATAAAAGAGTTAGATTGGCAGTAAAGACATGCAGCTCCTTCAAAATGAAATAATCCTCTCTCCTTCTCCCATCCCTTCCATTCATTTTTACTTTCTTTTAATTTTTTGGTCTAAACTAACTGTTCCAATACAACTATAACTGGTATTAATAATTAAAAAGTGTGTGAAGAATAAAGGTCATACCTAAAGAGTAATAGAAGAATTATAGCTACCAACTGAAAATATTAACATACTTCCCCAAACATTCCCATTTCCTTCAAACGTTTAACAATTATTTTACACATGGATGCCACAGTGAATGTTTTATCTGCCTTTCCTGAGTAGATATCATCACAGAGAAAGATGGAAGATGAGAATTATTGGGAAGACCTCCATACTTACTACTCTGACACCACACCTGACTTGTTACAGGAAAACATTTTTTTTAGCTCAAAGAACATTCTTCAGGGTGATTGTGTAACTAAATTTGACAATTAATAAAAGCTTATGATCTTTTGTTTGGTACCAGTAGAATAAATCATGCCTTTTCCTTCTTTTAAACTCTGATAAAAATGTCATAAGGACTGAGTCCTCACTTCAGCATGTAGGGTTCCCTCACGGCCAAAATCAGAATTAACAGGAAGTATGTTGCCTATTCCAGAATCCGTTGATACTACAATAAAACATCAGAAAATGATTATATATGTATTCACAGTAAGAAAAATTTATTAAATACATCTTTAAAAAGAATCAGTTTCAACCAAATAGCACCTCTTTCTTGGTGCTCTGCAAAATTAACTTCACAGTAAAAAAAGAAAAAAAGTAATCCTCAGTCCCAGATCTATATTTATTCAGGTCAATTTCCCACATTATAAAGTTTTAAGTTTATTGTTCCATGAAGGACCCAGATAATTTCTTGAGTGTCTCCACAGGAAAAATGTATAAAAACTCTCATGTAGAGCAAATATTAAAGTTTAAATATTCAAATATTTAAAGTGTATCTAAGATTGTTTTTCAAGAACTTTGGTGTTTTTTGTTTGGTTTTTTATTTGATACAGGGTTTCTCTGTGACTTTGGAACCTGTCCTGGAACCAGCTCTTGTTGTCCAGGCTGGCCACAAACTCGCAGAAATCTGCCTGCCTCTGCCTCCCAAGTCCTGGGATTAAATGCACACACCACCACTGTCCGGCCTGGTGTTTTACTTATCTCTAACATTCTTGATAGTTTTCTTTGAAACACTGAACCCCAAATTTGCTTCTTAGTTTCTCTTTAACCCTGAATTAGTAACATTAAGTAGACAAAAGTTCTCTAGTTATCATTTCTGTTTTGAATTTCAAACCCTTCAATATAGGATAGAAACAACGCAAAAACTTACAACAAGTCCTGATTTTTTTTTGGCGCACAGTATTCCACATATGCCACAAAGAAGAAACTGGAAAAGAAAAGAAGAATTATTTTATTTATATAGATAAAAGATATGTTTAACTCATTATAATCCATTCACGACACTTTCTCCAAGCAAGCTTGCATGTCTCAGATTCCCATCAAGACAAAATAAAAGTCTTGTTGTAGAATATAGAAGGCTAAATTTTATTTATTTTTTGTAAAAGCTAATTGTGAGACTTAGTCAATACTTTAATCAGTTTGTCACCAGGAAAAAAAAATTGTGAAGTAAAGAAACTAGAATTTTGTTCCTCTTGACTCACTTCATTGTCATTTTCTTTTCAACTTTCTCAGAGACAAATATATTATAAGACATTTATTCACATTAAGCACTTAGACCTCAATAGGTTGTCAAATGGTTAAGAAAAATACCACAGATAAAATTATAAGACATCAAAAAAGAAGATCATTCTCTATAGAGACAAAATTTGCTGCATATTTTCAGACATTGATTGCACCATTCTGACAGAAAGATTGTCTCTGTGGACATGTCCAAAGAACCCAGACAAAGCAATTGATGCCATAAAATTTCATATTAATAAGAAATAATATTAATTGCAAAGAAAGTACATTAAATATTCTACCCATGATAAAATAGTCAAGAGTTTAATTGTATCAAAATATTTAAGGATGTTTGAATAAAAATTTGTTCATATTTGAGTTGGCTAACCATTCAGTTAAAATAATTAATTTATAAAAATAATAAGAAAATTCATGATTTATATTTGCTAAGAAACCTGTTTCTATTTGGGTTTTAATTTTTTGATTTTTTTTCATTTTATAGTGAGTAAGGTACTTGCCACCAAACCTGACAGCCTGAGTTCATATTCTGTGACTCATAAATTGAAAAGAACCAATTCTTTATTTTAGTGTTCTATTACTTTTTTTTATTTGTTTGTTTATAAAAATTTCCACTTCCTCTCCTCCTCCCCATACCCTCCTATTCTCCCCACTCTTTCTCCCCCCCCACTCCCTCTCTCCTCTCTCTCCAGTACAAAGAACAGTCAGGGTTTCCTGCCCTGTGGGAAGTTCAAGTTCCTCCACCCTCCCTCCAGGCCTAGGAAGGTGAGCATCCAAACAGACTAGGATCCCAAAAAGCCAGTACATGCAGACGAAACAAGTCCCAGAGCCATTATCAAAGGCTTCTCAGACAGCCCCCATGTCAGCCACTTTCTGAGAATCCGGTATGATCACATGCTCGTTCAGTCCCAGTCCAGCTGGCCTTGAAGAGCTTTCATTCGATCAGTCCCCTTGTATCAGTGGGTGTACGCACCCCTCGCGGTCCTGATTTCTTTTTTCATGTTCTCCCTCCTTCTGCTCCTCATTTGGACCTTGAGGGGCTCAGTCCAGTGCTCCAATGTGGGTCTTCGTCTGTATCGCCATCCATCGTCGGATTAAGTTTCCCTCTGGTACTGCCTATCTTGCTCACGTTTTCCCTCATTCTGCTTCTCATTTGGATCTAGGGAGTAAGTCCAGTATTCCAATATGTGTCTCTGTCTCTATCTCCATCCATCGCCAGATGAAGGTTCTATGGTGATAAGCAAAACATTCATCAGTATGGTTATGGGCCAAGGCCAGTTCAGGCACCCTCTCCTCTGCTGCCCACGAAAGAATCTGGGACCTCTCCTTGGGCCTGAGAACCACTCCAGAAACAAGTCTCTTTCCAACCCTAAAATGGCTCCCTTAGTTGAGATATATACTTGCCTGCTCCCATATCCATCCTTCCTCCCCCAATCTCATTCACCCACGCATCCCCAATCCTCCCCCTCTCCCTTCTCTCTAACCATCTCCCCTTACTTCCAACCCCCCCCCCCAGTGCACTCAAGTTTGCCTTGCAATCTTGACTACTTCCTATATCCAGGAGGATAACTATATGAATTTCTTCAGGTTCACCTTCTTATTTAGCTTCTCAAGGATCACGAATTATAGACTCAAAGACCTATAACTATGGCTAGAATCCACTTATGAGTGAATACATACCACACTCCTATTTTTGGGTCTGGCTTACCTCACTCAGTAAAGGGTATTCTATGTCCATCCATTTGCATGTAAAATTCAAGACGTCATTTTTTTTAATACTGAGTAAAACTCTAATGTGTACATGTTCCACACCATTTTTAACCATTCTTCTATTGAGGGGCACCTAGCTTGATTCCATGTTCTGGCTATTACAATTAGTGCAGCTATGAACATAGTTGAACAAATACTTTTGTAGTATGATAGGGCATCTCTTGGGTATATTCCTAAGAGTGGAATTGCTGGGTCCTGAGGAAGGTTGACTCCCAGATTCCTGAGAAACCGCCACACTGATTTCCACAGTGGCTGCACAAGTTTGCATTCCCACCAACAATGGATGAGTGTTCCCCTCACTCCACATCCTCTCCAGCATAGGCTATCATTGATATTTTTAAGTTTAGCTATTCTGACAGGTGTAAGATGGTATCTCACAGTTGTTTTGATTTGCATTTCCCTGATTGCTAAGGAGGTTGAGCATGACCTTAAGTGTCTTTTGGCCATTCAAAGTTCATCTGTTGTGAATTCTCTGTTCAGTTCAGTACCCCATTTTTTAATTGGGTTAATTAGAGCTTTAGTATCTAGCTTCTTGAGTTCGTTGTATGTTTTAGAGATCGGACCTTTGTCTGTTGAGGGGTTGGTGAAGATCTTCTCCCAGTCAGAAGGTAGTTTTTTTGTCTTACTGACAGTGTCCTTTGCTTTACAGAAGCTTCTCATTTTCAGGAGGTCCCATTTATTCACTGATTTTCTTATTGTCTGTGCTATTGGGGTTCTACTTAGGAAGTGACCTCCTGTGCCTATATCTTGTAGACTACTTCCCACTTTCTCTTCTATCAGGTTCAAAGTGGTCAGATAAATATTGAGGTCTTTAATCCATTTGGACTTGAGTTTTTGTGAATGGTGATAGATATGGATCTACTTTCATTCTTCTACTGGTTGACATCCAGTTATGCCAGCACCATTTGTTAAAGATGCTTTCCTTCTTCCATTGTATACCTTTAGCTCCCTTGTCAAAAATCAGGTGTTCATAGATTTGTGGGTTAATATCCGGGTCTTCTGCTCGATTCCATAGGTCGACTTCTCTGTTGTTATGCCAATACCAAGCTGTTTTCAATACTGTCGCTCTGTAATAGAGTTTGAAGTCAGGGATGGTAATGCCTCCAGAAGTTCCTTTATTGTATAAGATTGTTTTGGCTATCCTGGGTTTTTTGCTTTGCCATGTAAACTTGATTATTGTTCTCTTAAGGTCTGTGAAGAAGTTTGAAGTGATATTGATGGGGATTGCATTGAATCTATAGATTGCTTTTGGTAGAATTGCCATTTTTACTATGTTGATTCTCCCAATCCAAGAGCAGGGGAGGTCTTTCCATTTTCTGGTATCTTCCTCAATTTCTTTCTTCAAGGATTAAAGTTCTTGTCAAATAGGTCTATCACTTCCTTGGTCTCTCCCAAGATATTTTATGCTATTTGTGGCTATCATGAAAGGTGATGTTTCTATGATGTCCCTCTCTGCTTCTTTATCCTTTGTGTAAAGAAGGGCAATGGACTTTTTGGAGTTGATCTTGTATCCTGCCACATTACTAAAGGTGTTTATCAGCTGTAGGAGTTCTTTGGTAGAGTTTTTGGGATCGCTTATTTATACTATCATATCATCTGCAAATAACGAGAGTTTAACTTCTTCCTTTCCAATTTGAATCCCCTTGATCCCCTTATGTTTTCTTATTGCTATTGCTAGAACTTCAAGCACTATATTGAAGAGGTGAGGAGAGAGTGAACAGCCTTGTCATGTTCCTGATTTTAGGGGAATGGCTTTGAGTTTCTCTCCATTCAGTTTGATGTTAGCTGTCGGCTGGCTGTATATTGCTTTTATTATATTTAGGGATGATCCTTGTATCCCCAATCTCTCCAACACCTTTATCATAAAGGGGTGTTGAATTTTGTCAAATGCTTTTTCAGCATCCAATGAAATGATCATATGTTTTTTTTCTTTCAGTTTATTTATATGATGGATAGCATTGACAGATTTGCATATGTTGAACCAGTCCTGCATCTCTGGAATGAAGCCCACCTGATCATAATGCATGATTTTTCTAATGTGTTCTTGGATTTGGTTTCCAGGATTTTGTTGAGAATTTTTGCATCGATATTAATGAGTGAGACTGGCCTGTAATTCTCTTTCTTGGTTGTATCTTTGTGTGGTTTTAGTGTTAGGGTGACTGTAGCTTCATAGAAAGAGTTTGGCAATGACTCTTCTGTTTCTATATTGTGAAATACTTTAAGAAGTGTAGGTATTAGCTCTTCCTGGAAGTTCTTGTAGAATTCCACATTGAAACCATCTGGTCCTGGGCTTTTTTTGGTAGGGAGTTTTTTGATAACAGCTTCCAATTCTTCACGACTTACAGTTCTATTTAGATAGTTCACCTGGTCTTCGTTCAACTTTGGTTTATAGTACTTATCTAAAAACATGTCCATTTCTTTTACATTTTCCAATTTTGTGGTGTACAGGCTTTTATAGTAAGATCTAATGATTCTCTGAATTTCCTCTGTGTCTGTGGTTATGTCCCTGTTTTCATTTCTGATCTTATTGATTTGAGTGTTCTCTCTCTCCTGTTTGATTAGTTTGGCTAGGGGTTTGTCAATCTTGTTGATTTTCTCCAAGAACCAGATTTTTGTTTCATCGATTATTTGAATTGTTTTCTGTGTTTCTATTTTGTTGATCTCAGCCCTCAGTTTGATTATTTCCAATCTTCTACTCCTCCTGGGTGAGTCTGCTTCTCTTTTTTCTAGAGCTTTCAAGTGTGCTGTTAAATCGCCAATATGTGCTTTCTCTGTTTTCTTTACTTGGGCACTTAGTGCTATGAACTTTCCTCTTATCACTGCTTTCATAGTGTCCCATAGGTTGTGGTATGTTATGTCTTCATTTTCATTAAATTTAAGGAAGATTTTAATTTCTTTCCTTATTTCTTCCTTTACC